ATACTCGCGATCCTAATGTCTTTACTAGCCCATAGTAGCATTTGTTGCCTGTTTGTATTCTAACTGCTACTTCGTTCGCTATATCATTATTTTCTGTAACTATGGTTCCGAGGTATTTAAATTGTTGCACTTTGTTGAAGTTAAACCTTCAAATGTTCAGTGTATTAGGTTGGAGTAGTTTCCTTCTTTCAACACACATATATGCTGTTTTTCCTTCATTACACTGTAATCCTACTTTCGCTGCGGCTTTCTCTAATTTGAGGAATATATTTTTTAAACTGTCTTGTGATTCTCCTAATAAGACTATATCATCCGCATACGCTAGCAGCTCTATTGAAGAGTCCTGTAATTTAAATCCTTGATTGTTGATGTTTATTTCTCTTATAACTCTTTCTAGCACCAAGTTAAATAAGATAGGTGATAGGGCATCCCCTTGTCTTAAACCAGATTTTACTAGTACAGGGTCCGAAATCAAGTCACCAACCTTAACTTTGACTTTTGTCTCCATTATACTTATCATAATACAATTTATTAACTTATTAGGGAATTGGAAGTCCTTCAGTATTTTCATTACGCTTTCTCTGTGTATACAATCGTAGGCTTTTTGGAAATCAATGAAAAGGAATTGTAATTCCTTATTATATTCCCAGGCGTTCTGAAAGACCTGTCTTAATATAAATATCTGGTCAATAGTAGACCTTCCCATCCTGAAGCCACCTTGATAATTTCCGATTATTTCTTCTGCCCTATCTTTTATTCTCGATAAGATACAATTAGATAATATCTTATATGTCACATTCAATAAGGAGATACTTCTATAGTTGTTACAATCCTGAGTATCTCCCTTTTTATGTATTGCAATTTTTTTAAAAATAACACAAATTATTGCAGTCTTCCAGTCTTCGGGTAAACTTTCTTTCCTCCATATGCTTCCGATTAAGTCCATATCCTTTTAGCCATCTCTTTTCCTCCGTTTTTTAATAATTCTGCTTGTATTCCATCCTCTCCTGGAGATTTATTATTTCTTAGTATTTTTAATTGTATTTCAATTTCCTCTAGCGTTGGTTCCGGGCATCCATTGTTATTCTCGTTAGTTAGGCTAAAAGTTAACAACTCTTCTGGTTAATTACAGTTCAGTTGATCATAAAAATATCTTTTCCATCTCTCTATCAGTGCTTCGTTCGTGGTTATTAAAGAACCTATGTTGTCTTTGAGAAAACGTTCTTTCCTTTTATATTTACCCCCGAGTTTATTTACTTGTTGGTACAGTTCTCTAGTTTTCTGGCCTCGGTAGTTATTTTCAGCACATAGTATTATATCTTTCATATACTTTTGTTTTTCGCACCTAATTATATTATGCGCTTCTTTTTGTCTTGTTTTAAATCTTTTTGAGCCATACAGTGGGTATAAATAGCGTAAGGATATTGATTTTTTATTTTATTTTTTAGTCCGTTAAATTTCCCAGACATAACATTTGCAACGTCATATGACTGAGCAACTATCTGTAGTTTAGAACTAAGTTTACACTTTTTCAGGTACTATAATATGTAATGATACAAACTTTCAGCATCTTGATTCTTAGAACAATTTATAAAACCGAGAAATCTCTCAACAACATCTAGATTTTTAACATATCTTACACATAATGCCATTTGTTCTTGTTTGTAACACCTATAAATTAATTTAATAAAAATAAATTAAGAAGTCCATGTATAAAACATAATTTATATTTCACCTTGCTTCATCACACATAATTCCAAACACCTCAACGTCTTCAATATCTTTCACAACATCTGCACATATTTACAAGTTCATCTTGAATTATATGACTTGAATAATTGGTTTTAAGATTAAATTTTTTTCCAAATTCCTCATTACTTTTTGCTAACAATTTACATAATTCTTAAAAGTTTCTTAAAAATATATTTGTTTTTTACAAATAATTATCATAATTAGATATTTTACATTTAAGATCATTTATGACTATTAGTAATATTAGTTATTAGTTATTACTTTTTAGAAACAAATTCTCGTTATTTAATTTCCACATCTCGTAATATAGTATGACTTTAGGTTCGTGTGATATATTTGTCCTTACATACCTATCAATACTTCTATTGTCATATGTGTATACTACAGTGTAAATAAACCGAGGCTAATATAGGTAGTGGTGCAAATCGGTAATATTATTTTTGAAATTAATTTGATGCTCTTGATGACAAGGAAAACAATTTGTTTGGTAAGTATATTTTTACTAATATTACAAAAATAAAATATTATTTAAAATATAAATTTTTATACCGATATAAATTAGTTAATTTTTTTATTAATATTCAATCGTATTTCAAGTTTATATTTTCGACATTTGCCATGGTAGATATCCGAGGTCAGAAATAAAATATTTACACAATGTATTTCTTATGTTATTTAGCGTAAGGCCTCCTCTTACGTTACTCTCATCAGATATATCTTAAGACCTGTGATTGAGATTCTATCCAAATCGCAATTGTTCATTATTTTCTATTGACTTCCACAAACTAGACCTCTTAAACACTGACGAATCGCAGTCTTTACCGTAACTTCCAACGTCAATGTACACAAATCGACATTTGGAATCTGCAACTGCCATGAGAACTATAGAATTATATCCTTTATAATTAAAATACATTGACAGCTGAATTTTCAATATGGAAATCAAAGTGGCTTAAAAAAGTCACGCACTAATACAACAATTTCAGGGCTTGACAATTGTAACATTCTTTTATTTTCTAAGGTATGGAAACTTTGGCAAGTCTTAGCAACTAAACCTATGCCAACAGTGACACCAGAAAGAATATTTTCTTCTTTAAAAAGATTGAAAGTGTAAATTTGAAATTCGACTCAATGGATTAGTATTAATGTCAATTCACAGGAAAATAAATGTTAATCCAGAAGAGATGCTAAAAATCCTTACCAAAATTGGTCTTCCACAAAATCAATTTTTTTTTGAAAGGCAGAAATAACTGATTTTGACGTTATAAATTGAGCTCGTCACCTTGTAGTAGCAGATTAATTCTATTAACATTTACAAATAAATCGGTCATATAACCAAAATCGCTCTTAAATAGTAGCAACCTGTCTCTGAAATTTACATCATTTCTTCAAGAAACTCGAGCACAAAATCGAAAACATTCCAAAACTTATTTTATTGAGGCAGGCACCTTTAGAGAGCCAGCCAACTTCGGTGTGTAAAAGCAAGCGATTGAATTTATCGTCGTTCTCCTTACATAGTATTCTAAATAGTCGATCGTTCAACGAATTACTACGAATTTTATTTACAGCGAATATAAAAATGACGTATTATAATGACTGATGTAAACGGCCACTGAGGTTTATTGTAACTAAATTTTGCCTATGAATCACGCAATGAATAGCTAAAATACCTAGTATATCTTTCTTTAAAACAGCGATGAACCCATTATGACGGCCTGCCATTGCAGGTGCTCCATCAGTGGCAATAGATATAATGCTTTTAAGCGGAATATTTTTTCTTTGAAAAATCTTTAACTACATTAAAAATAGATTCGCCTTTTGTACTAGCAATCAAGGTTCTTGTAAAAAGCATTTCTTGAATGATTTTTCTTTTATTTACAAACAGGACGTACGCTAATAGTAAAGCCTTATTACTCGGCAAAGTTAATTCGTCGATTTTAAGAGAAAATTCGTTGGATAATAAGAGTTCACATAATGAATTTTCAACGTTTTCCGCCATTTCGTCGATTCGTCATC